TATAAATATGAGACAAACCCCAAGTCCGGTACAGATTAGACAAAAATAAATCAAAATTTAATCAAAATGGCCAGACAATGGATGTCTGTTATTCTTTCTAAGAAACAAAGGAATCTGTTATCCAAGGTGATGACATTTTAATTCCGGCGTCGGTTTTTCGTTAAGATTATTCAACATAACCACAAACTCCATCCAGTTCGACTGTAATTTTCTCTTTCGAGGCAACATTTCTTTAAAATCTCATATAATTTTCAGCTGACACATTGGAAAAAATATTTTTGCCTCAAATCTGTCCTACTACTATTTTTCCTAACAGTGAATTCTCTCGAGAGCAGTTACATATCTTGTCCTTTGTAAGAAAAGGCAACTCTGAACAACCTCGTTCCCAGGGTCTTTTCCCACCCCCAACTAAGGGAAAAGGCCCTGGGAACGAGGTTGAACTCTGAAAACACCAACAAGATAACCGCCAAGGATTATTGCTATAGAAAAACAAATTGAGCGGAATATAAAGTTTATTTTAAAACAAAATCAAACGAGGAAGTATGTCACAAAAGCTGTCCATGTATTGACTTGCCAACTTGTTATCGGCACATGCGCTGCTGTTCACCTTACAAGTTATAAGACATGTGACACCATCTGAAGATTACAACAGCTGTATTACCAATTGAAATAGCGCTGCAGAAAAAGGAATAAGAACGATAAATAAAACGAGAAAACCTCACTTGTTGTATTTTCACATGGACTAATGGCAATGTAGGACTTCCAGTATTTCCAATAAACGCCGGAAGTGTCTTCAGATAATCATATGCTTCCCGCTTCGGTGCTATCAACCAATCAAGTGCAAACAAAAAATGCCTTTTCGCAGAAATAAATCTATACCTACAGCTTATCATATCAAAAGCAGACACCCGCGAACTTGCTTAAAATCAGGAAGATTCTCGCAGAAAAGCAATGGGAGATAGTGAAAGCAAGCAGGATACAAACGAACCATCTGGTCAAGAGCGAACAAGTTCTAGTAAGTTAGTTTAACAAAACTCATCTTCCCCTCTTTCTTTTCCTTTCGAGTGACTGACGACTGAGAAGTAACGCTTCGGTCCTGAAGGAAGATTAGGTTTCTCCAGCACAAGGTGAAAAGCGAACAGGAAGTTGGGGCTGACAAAACGCACAGGATCATGTTACCGTAG